TCTCCATTTTTAATGTGCAACAGCAGAAATTAAAATAAGACATCGATCCACGTCTGGCCTCGGCTTCACCTCAGGAGCAAGCCTCCAAGGCAAGAGAGACCTCAAAACACAAGCCCCAGCAGCTGAAATTCCACAAGCCTGAGATTCTGGCTTTGCAGAAGGATGGCACGAACTTCCCGGCCCTGGGGAGGGGCACGCAGCCGAGCACAGCGACCTCGCAGCAGGCAGTCCCAGCGGCCCAGCTAACCGTGTAACCATCAGCGTGAGAGCTGCGCACGCAGCGAAAACCCGCAGAGATACTCTTAGGTAAAAATAAAGAGAAGCAAGGAAAAAGCAAAGCAGAAACGAGCTCTGAAGAAATTTCACCTAGGTACCAGATGGAGGCAAGGGGTGCAAAGACATGAGGAAGAAGGCAAGAAGGAAGTTAGCAGGGCTTTACAAAAATACAAGGCTACTTTCCCCCCATCCCTTATTTGCCACAGCTCCCAAGTACAAAAGCCAGGGAAGCAAAAGTATGGGGAGCACAATGAACGCCTAACAGGGGGCACCTTCTGTCAGTAACAAAGCGCTGCAAAGAAACTGCAGGCTTCAATCTTTTCTCTGGGAGTCGCTATTTGTCACTGTATGGAGGAGGATTATCCACACTGCTGGGTAAGCATTTGCAAATCATCTGGCATTTGGCTTTAGCATTATACAACCGACAGACAGCAATTCAACGAATGGAAACAGAAGCAAAGGAAGTGTCTGCAGTTGCAAGCAAGGGACAAGCACAGCTCACAAAACATTTCCAATGTCATTCCCATTTTGTCCAGGCTAGTGAGGGGTAAAAGGCCAGACAGACTGGAGCTTAAACTCTGCTCTCTGAGCCAGCAGGACTGTGCAGGTGTAAGGTAAGCTCAGCTCACTGGGAAGGTTCGTAAGAGTCAACTGTGATCTCACTTGTGTCTTCCTAGTGTTCTACTCTGAATGGGAAACAAAGGAAAAAACTGCCCTTTGCACACAACTGAGAGGCTGGAGAGAGAACCGGGCCGACGCGGGAGCAGGGACCGAGGAATGCTGGCAACACTCACTGTACAGCGAGGGCAGAGCCATTCCCCATTTGGTATTTCTGGCAGCGGCGGGTTGAGGCAGTGGAGGTGGTAGGAGGACGGGCAGGTGTCACAGCACAGCAGCTCCCCTCCGTCCTTACAGACCCGGCAGAACTCCATGTGGTCATCCTCCTCCTCCTCGCCGCCTTCCTCATCCTCGTCCTCCTCCTCCTTCGGCTCCCACTGGATGCCCTCCTTCTCCTGGGGAAGCACAGCCAGCGTAACGCCGAGGGTTTCCGCCACCCGCCCGCCCGCTCGCACCCACGGGGCCCCAACCCCACTCACACAGTGGGGGCAGCTCCACTTGCCCTCGGGGGCCTTCTCCAGCTCGGGGTCCAGGCAGACGAGGTGGTAGGCACGAGGACACGTGTCGCACAGGATGATCTCCCCTCCCTGCTGGCACACCTCACAGTAGTCCTGGTGGTCCGTCTCATACCCGTCCCCTTCTTCCACTGCAAGCAAAGGACAGGCGCAGTCAGAGGGACGGCGGAGCTGCCTGCTCTCCCGGGAGGGAACGGGACACTTGCTCCTCTACGATACAGTTAAGGAAACCAGGAAAGCGTTTCGCCTCGGACCCCTCCTGTGACGTCCCCCTTCCTCTCTGTCCCTCAGCACCACCGTTCATCTTTGCACACAGCATCATCTCACCTCTGTCTCTCTTTCTCTCTCCACACTGTATCATCCTTTGGTTCCTTCAGGCTCTCAATGGAGAATGCCAGAACCTGGAGAGGTTGCAAGGGAGGCCAGTCAGAGAAACCTCCCCGGGTACCAGCGCCACCAACTGCAAACGCACCATGCAAGGGTGATTCGGCCGGGCAGGAGGAGGACGACTCCTCTCCTGGGACTACTCTGCTCTTCCTGGGTGCTCACTGGCGCAGGGGCAGGAGCTCTCTCAGCTCAGCATGGACGGGAAGAGGAACGGAGGGACAAGGCCTTGCAAGCACCGACACGGCTCATCTCCACTCCCAGCTCTGCCACAAGCTCCCGGCACAGACCTCCGACCCTCCGCTCCTCCAGCACGTGGCAGGAGCTCCCTGGCTCCGGCACAAGGACCCTCGTACCGCAACAAGCCGGGAGGCAAAGCGGTCCCCTTCACACGCGAGATGCAGAGCCAGCGGCCAGCCCTGCCTCGCCGACCGACGGGGAGGCTGGGCCGGCGCACCGCCCTCCGC